CACACACACACACACACACACACACACACACACACACAGAGAGAGAGAGAGAGAGAGAGAGAGAGAGAGAGAGAGAGAGAGAGAGAGAGAGAGAGAGAGAGAGCTCACATTATCAAAGTCAGGAAGTTGACTCAAGTGCTCCTTCAGCAATGGAACGCCACTCTCAAAGAAAGGATGAACATAGTCTCCAAAGTAGAATCTCTCCTGGGGGAATGTCAACATAGGAAAATGTCAGAATGATCAAAAAAGACTTTGCAGGAAGGAAGGTCGTGGGGATCACTGCAACAGAAGATCGAACGTTTAGGGTCAGGCTTCTCCTCGCTACCGTCTTCACCCGAACATAACGCCCGGTTATTATCACCATATCTAGACTGAAAGCTGACCCAAATACAGCTACAATGACCAGGAGTTCTCTTCAGGTGAAGACACTAGAACTTCCTTAGAAAGGCTAAGAAGCGGTCAAGAGTGGACATGAGGCTACTACCACTATGGCCTGCTCCCATAACCTGGGCCAAATGGAGAAAAAGGGAGTACGTCTGTTCCCATACCCTAGACCCATGTTCTTGTCCCATAACCTGGTTCCATAGCTTAATCCCATATGTCCCATACTCTGGTCCAATAGACTTTGTCCTATACCCCAATCGGCGTAGCATTGGTACTCACAGTAGTAGAAATATGTCTTATCCCACAATTCTGGTCACATACCCTGTTCCCATGTCCCGGTCCCATATCATGAATGAGTGGGTGGGGGTGAGTGTCTCTTAATAGAAAGAGTAATGGTATACTCACACTTCCACTTTTCCTAAACCTTTCCATCGCGGCTGTGAACACTGGGAGATACCCACACTACCGTCTTCACCCGAATAGAACGCCCTGTCATTTATAACTGTATTGGGCACAACTTTCAGTCCAGGAACAGAACGATAATGACCAGGCATTCCACTTGGGTGAAGATAGTAGGAATTGATACCTAGAGGCTAGAGGGTAGAACTGGTGTTTTCTTTTCCAGTTCTTTTTTGTTTTTGTCTTCCATGCCATGGGCAAGGTTTAGGGGCTGTCTCTTATACACATCTAGATGTGTATAAGAGACAGATTTAACATATATTAGAGGCACAGTAAAGGAGGAGCAAAAATAAAAAATGATCAAAAGAACGGTTTCAGTGTGCTCTGCATGTTTGTCTTGCGTATCTCTGTTGTTCGCTTCGCCAAGTATGCTCTTTTAGCTGACAGATATGTGAGAAATTGAGAATATAATATATAATACTTTAAATTCTCCGTTAGTTCCATGTGCTCCCACGGGAGAGGCCGCCCAGCTCCGTCAGACTCAAAAAATGTCTGATTCTTGCGCCGCAACAGTTTGGGACCTCGACGTTGCTGGGAAAAGCTCGGCTATGGATGACTTCTTCTTCTTCTTGGTCGGCTATGGCTGCTGTCACCTTCTTCTTTGTCACCTCTCTCTTCTCTCACCATCTTCTGCGTCAATAGTCTTCTCTCCGGTCCTTCGCTATGGTTGTGCAGACAACGGGAACCAGCTCTGATACCACTGCATTCAGACCCGTCTCAATTTCACGTTCAACATGCATACATTTGTAGATGCTGATGGCAAAACAACTTCCTCAAAGCAGAATCAGCAACAAGCTTGAGGGATGGCACAGTGCGGCCACACAGAAAACTTGGGAGAATCTGATCCGTCTGGGCTCACGAGAAGGCAGTGCCTGCATTGTGTGTTTGCTGAGCTTGCCTGAGAAAGATTTTGGACATTTTTCCAGCGCTCCTGACCAGAAAAGACGACGGGATTTTCCTAACATCGGGAAATGAGGTAACAGTGGTGGCGATGCCAGACGTAACCACAATAGAATTACGAGTGCTGAGGGAAGTAGCTAGGTAGCGGTGGGCGGGATAGGAAAAGAGAGGCAACTCACATTCATTCAAGTCTCTTAGTAGCTCTTCTCAGTGTTCTCACACATGGCTTTGACATAGCGGGAACAGAAGAGCTATGGGCAGGATGTGGCCTCCAGCATCGTATTCCAAATGTTCATTTGGTAACAAAATTCAAAATTGCTGTTCTTTTTTTGCAAA